ATTCACAACATAAACTATAGATCACTCAGGCTCCCTAACTGCAAGTTGCTGGGGGGACTTTTTTTAATTTAATAGTGCTACTAATACGATATAGGTTGGACAGTAAGTTCTCAAAACTAAAAATAATGATACAATAATTTTTTAAAATATTTAAAGCGAAGCATTACATAAGTAGATGATGAACACTAATTCACAAATTTTATTTAAGTTTATTATTTACTTTTTAATTGCACATTATACTGTAGTAGTGGAAAACATTATAACTCAGTTTGAAAATTATGGTTTTGGATCTATCTTCTTTATTAGCAGGAGGAAGATGGGCCATTTTCGACACTAAAGAGAACATTTCAGACGGGCATGTGTAGCACGTGGTACCTGGGTCAAGGGTGCAGCAGGGAATCCAAATTCCAGAATTCGCCATCTTGTGTTGTTCCAACTCCCAAATGCTGTATGAGCACGCCCAATGGATTCTCGTTTCATTGTTGTTCTCACGAAATAAAACATGAACAGAATGCTGTGAATGATGTAAATAACTCATTTAATGATTTTTTTTATTAAAAGTAAAAAACTTTAAATTTAAGTCAAATAATATGCAGGTGAAATAAAATACAAAATAAGATATAATTGTCTTTTATTGTACAATCATTTTTCATTATACAATTAAGATAATAATAATAAAAAAAAAACCATGAACAGAACGCTATTAGTGAAGTTATGTCCTAAAGCCAAGCTTGTTCTTTGTACGAAACAAGCTTGGTTTTTTTTTTCTTTCTTTCAATTCAAAGAAATTGTTCTTTTTGCTACAATTTACTGCAGCAATTCTTAAATTAAACGGTTTTTTTTCTTAATTTTAATTTATAAAATGTTAATTAAAAAATAATATTATTATGACTTTTAAAAGAACACCATACATTAAAGGAGATGTGTTTTGTTAGGTATATGTCTGATGTTCTTTTAAGGATTAAGTATAAAAATATAAATTTATATAAAATAATATTAATTATGATTATGTTATGGATGCACTGTAAAATAAAATTTATTAATAGAGAAAGATCCTTAGTATTAAAAATTCTCTCCCTATCAAAAATTTAATATTTTATAATTTAAAATAATTTATACTA